CAGAAGAAGAAGGGCATTCCGCTGCCCAACTCTTGCACCACCGCCACCACCACGGCCACCACCGCTTCGACCGGCGCCACGTCGTCGCCTGGAGGACCCACGACGACCTCGAGCGTCCGGACGTCGCCGATCGACCGCAAGTTCGCGACGTCGTCGGCTTCGTCTTCGTCATCAACAACGGCGGCGTGTTCATCTCCACCATCGGCTCGTAGACGAGGAGACCAACACCTCACCTTCCATTACTTCGCCGACCGCGACGGCGATGACTCCGCCGCGGCGCCCTGAACCGCGAGTGTGACATGTAGCATCAGAAATAAACCAGAAGCTTCTACTTCTCGGCCTCCGGACGTGTGCGAGAGCAACACGAGTAGAGAAAGCAATAAATACACCGGTTCGGCAAAACGAGGGTTAGTTATGCACGGCAACCGTTATTCTTGTTCCTTTGCCGCAGGTCAGAAAACCAGACGGAGAGCCCATGGCACACTAATTTTTTCCTTTCCGGGATCAGGTTTCTTCTGGTTGGTCCGGCGGTTACATGTGATCATGTCCGCAGAAAGCTTGAACGAAAAAAATAAAAATTTCTGCGGACATATTTACAAAAAAAGTTTCGTTTTCGTTCTCGTTTTGGAAGCGGTTCTTCCTTTCCGGTTTTCTCTTCTCATTTCTCCGATTGCACCCAAGCGACCCAGGCGAAGTCAGAGTTGGATTATCCAACAGGAGGGGAACACTTCTGTGTTGTTTTAATATTTATTTTATTTCGTGTCTACAACAATAAAATAATAAATATTAAAACAATCCCCGTATTCGGGGTTCTTCTTCGCTTGAGCTGGAAGCAGGGCAGGTGGGTGGGAGCACACAGAAGTGTTCCCCTCCTGTTGGATAATCCAACTTACCTGAGGGTAACTAAGATTACCCAAGGGAAGGGGAACACTTCTGTGTTGTTTCCTACAGAGTTGATTTGTTGGGAATGGTGTCTGACTTGTTGATGTTGAAGATGACGTTGGTGTAGGTGTGTGGAACGTTCTGTACAACGTAGTGCTTGTAGAATGTCTCTGCGCTCTGCCATCCACTGAGGTGGAAGATCATGTTGGGGTTGACGCTGGCTTGGATCCCGGCCATGATGCTGGATTTATGGAACGTTCAGGCAGTGAAGATGGACAGGTCAAGATTGGTGTCTGTCACAAGGTGTTGGAGGATGGAGGCACACTTGTTGGCAGTGAGGTTGCTAATTGGTCGCTGAAGTGAGAAGAGGAGGCCACATTGTCGTGTACCGCAGCGAAGACTCTGCGTGAGGCGTTTCCACCTCTTGAAGGTGTGAATGGGACAGCATGATTTGATGGAGCTCTGGTGTAGCAGGATTGTCTTTCCGTCGCTGTAGATGTTGTTTTTGTACCCGACGATGGGTATGCTGAGGGTGCAGTGTCTGTCGTTGAGTGTGATGACTGAGACCTGGTTCATGTGTGGGAGGGCTGCGCTTGAGACGCAGAGGGCGCCCAAGATGCAGAGCATCGCCAGGAGTTTCGTTCTGGTTTGTTTGAGTGAGGGCTCGTCGCCCCAGCTTACAAACAGGTTGCGTAGTTTGGAAGTGTTGAAGGTGGAGCTGTGCTCTACTGGTTGTGTTGTACGGCTCTGAATAATTGCTTTCTTGACCCGTCCGAGGAGGGGGTCTCTGGTTGGGTGGAAGTCTGCTGCCTTGTAGAGGGCTCCGATGGCCGCGGAGAGGCTGGTGATTGTCGATCAGGGGCGCTGGCTGCTCCTGGTGGTGGACTCCAGGAAGCTGGCGACTAGCCCCACCGCTATGGGCTGCTGTGGGGGGAAGCTGTGCCCGTGGCTCAGGCAGTAGCTGCGGAAGCGGCGGAGATTGCTGGCGTATCGACGCCAGGTGGATGCCGCAAGCGCCTGGTTGAGCAGGTTGGCTGCGGCTGGGGACCATCCAGCTGGGTTGGGCAGCCAGAGATCCTGAAGGCTGCCCAACGCCATTGCTTGTTGCAGAGCGGCTTGGGTGTGCTGTCAAATCTGCTGGTGAAGCTGGTTGAGTTCATTGGAATTCGGACCGGGGAGTCGATCGACAGCCGCTGCAGGTGACTGGCCCACCTGCAGCCCGGCCAGATGGGGGCCATGATCGTGGCGGTCGCTCCTTGGCGCTCCACGAGGTTGAGGATGTGAGGGATGAGGGCGATTGGGGGCGCTGTCCAGTTGTTGTCGTTCCTCCAGTCTTGGAGGAGGCAGTCTGTGGCTTTGCTGTCTGCTTCCATGAATCTTGAATTGAACTGTGGGAGTTGTCTGTTCTCCCTGGTTGCTGTCTGGTTGATGGAGTGGGGACCCCACTTCTTGTTGATCAATTTGAAGGCCTCTCTTGAGAGATGCCATTTGTGGTGAGGGTGGAGATGGCTGAGGCAGTCAGCTTCACTGTTGCAGAGGCCAGGAAGGTAGGCTGATGAGAGTTGGATGTGGAGGCGTTCACAGAGGAGATGGATCTCCTTCCAAACCCTGTTCATGGCTATGCTCCGTCCACCCATGTGGTTGAGGTGGGCCACTGTCGCGATGTTGTCGCATCGCATGAGGATCACTTTTCCTTGAAGGTGCAGTTGCAGGGCAAGGATAGTGTTGCGCACCACGGCAAGCTCAAGGACGTTGATGTGGCTCTTGCTGTCATCGCTCAACCACCAGCCTGCTGCCGTAAGGGTCCAACAGCTCGAACTCGCTCCCCAGCCACTTAGGGAGGCGTTGGTTTCAAGGATGATGTTGTGTGGGCGGAGGACTGTGATCCTCCCGTTCCATGTGGAGAGGCCGTGGCGCCACTCCTCAAGGTCGTTGGTGGTCGCCGGCGAGAGCTTGATGGAGCTGTTCCAGCTCATCCACCGGCCAATGTCGCGGTAGGCATTGCGAAGCAGGAGCTTCGCCGGGAGAATTGCTCTTGTGAGGGCCACGCCCTGGCTGACAACTGCTGCCAGGCACCAGACTGGGACTGATCCATGTGTCTTGGCGTGTCAGAGGAGACGGTCAATGTCATGTCGTAGGTCGTGGGCTTTCCTCAGGGGAACACAGAATGTGGGGGTCAATGATGTGTCAACCATCAGCCCAAGGAACTCCTTGCACTGGCTTGGGGTGGTGTCGGACTTCTCAGTGTTCACTACCCACCCCAGCTTCTTGAAGAGGTGGAGAGTGAAGGTGGTGTGGTGACGGGCTTCGGTGTAGCTCTGGCTGAGGATGATGACATTGTCCATGTAGGCCATCGCTCATATGCCCTGGCGACGTAGGAATCACACCATCGCATGGACGTAATGTGTGAAGATCCAGGGTGAGGCTGCTAGGCTGAACAGAAGGACTTGGAATGCGTACATCTGGTTCTGCCAGGCAAAGGCTAGGAGGTGTTGGTGGGCTGGGAGGACAGAGACATGATGGAAGCTGTCCTTCAGGTCAATCATTGTGATGAAGTCACCACTCCGGAGAAGGGGCACAAGGGTTGAGAGATCCTCATACTTGAACTTCAGCAGTGACACTGAGACGTTGAGGAGCCGCATATCGATGATGAGGCAGCTCTTGCCGTTTTTCTTTGGTACCACCCCAATGGGTGATACAAAGGCCGACTCATTCGAGCCCAGGAGCCAGATGGCCCCTGAGTGGATGAGTCAGTTGATCTCTTCCTCCATGAACATCGTCTGGAGATCGTCCATACGGTGGTTGCAGAGGACACAAAGCTGGGGAACGTTGTGGAGAGGCAGGGGAACCCCCCTCTCAATCCAACGTAGCACTGAGAATGGCGCACTGATCTTGCGCCACTCACTCAGTTGAGAGTTGAAGCCGGGCCATTCACTTGGCAAATCACTTCAGCTTCATTCCTCCATCCCCCAGGGGAGGGACGGAGGCGTCGACGTGTGGGACACTAGTTCACATTGGTGCCCACGCTGGCACTGTGGCTCTTGGTTGACATGCTCTTGTTGAATGGCTTCATGTACTTGTTGGATTGAGGTTTCAATCAGTGTTGTGCCTGGCCCATTCCTGAGCCACGCTTGGAGTTGGAGGTTTTCACAGCCACCTTGGCGAGCATGATGGCGTCCATGAGGCAGGTGCGCCATTCTCCATGTAGTGATGAGCCGGGGAGCGCATTGAACTGTTGTAGCGTCTCCTCGCCATACTTGCGACGGATGAGCATCTGGTCACAGGCGTCAATGATGGTCTTCATCACATAGAGGGTCACCGTGGCAAAGGTGCCGATCTCATCAGCGAGTTCCTCATGGCGTTGCGCCATGAGTACGCACAGGCAGAGAAGGGTCTTCTGTGCCTTGAACGTCTTCCAAAGATTAGCAACGTGGGAGAGGTCTTCCTTCAAGAATCCCACGCCCTCACTCTTCAGGAATTCGCACATCAAGCCGATGTGTACCCGATAGGTAGATCATTCGATGAGCTCATTGGCATCATGGAGCCATTCATCTCATGGGTCAAGATTGTTGACGAAGTCCGGGGTCGCGGTCGCAGCGGTAGGAAGCGCGTGAGGGGCGTAGACAGCCGGTTGGGCCTCGTCTTTGCTTTCCTCGACTTCGTCCTCGTCGTCAGCCGCGATTTTGCCCTTGTGGTCCACACGTTTTTGGGCGAGTTCTTGGGCTAACTGGCGAGGGGCTTCTGGTTGTACCACGCGAGGTTCGTCAGCCACCGGTTTGGTGGACTTGGGGGGTGAGGCGACCGCGGTCGCTGCCAGTTGCAGTCGTTCCACGATCATCTCGAGGAGGGCCATGAAGCGGTCTTCCCGCTCGTCATGGTTTGGACGTTGAATCACTGGGGGCGATGAAGAGGACGATTTGTTGTCCTCCATTCGCAACGAAGCGGATAGCACGGCTAGTCCGCGCGATGCTTACAGCTCGAGGAAAAAAGAAGAACCCCGAATACGGGGATTGTTTTAATATTTATTATTTTATTGTTGTAGACACGAAATAAAATAAATATTAAAACAACACAGAAGTGTTCCCCTTCCCTCGGGTAATCTTAGTTACCCTCGGGTAAGGATGGCGAGCACGCAGGCGAAAAATCCCTGTACGTTGACCTCTCTTCCCTATTGTTCCAAGGCGAAGACCTGACTGACTCAACAATCAATCCACAAGATGATACGCTCATTCAATTCGTAGGAGGCGGAGTCGGCGGTTGTGTGGCCTCCATTTGTACCTTCCCCCACCGTTTTTATATTTTAGTTTTATTTTCCTGTGTTTTGTGCTGAGCCCATAAACAAGACTTGATCTTATTTTTTTGTCTTTGATTTAATTATCTTTTTAGTTTATTTTGAGTTAATAAGTGTGCTGTCCTGTCAAGGCACGCACCCGGTGGACCTGCTCAAGGTGCGCCTGCAGGTGCAGGGCTCGGCTTCGGGCCTCGCCGCACCGCAGCTCGGCCTGTGGAAGACCACCGTCTCCGTCTTCAAGGAAGGCGGCATGGTCGCTCTCTACCAGGGGTACCACCTTCTTCTTCTTCTTCTTCACCCATCGCAGCCATCAAGACCCACCTCGCGCCTGTGTGTCACCAACCAATCACCACCACCACAGGCTGAGCGCATCGCTGCTGCGGCAGGCCACCTACACGACCACGCGCTTCGGGTGCTACATGTACCTGCGCGACCTGCTCGCCGACAGCCAGGGCAATCTCCCCTTCTACCAGAAGGCACGCAGCACCGACTTTTGATTTATTTGTTTATTTATTTATCATTTCACTTGCTGACTTGGTCGTGACGGGATGAACAACAAAAGGTGTTGGCGTCCATGCTCGCTGGTGCCGGCGGTGCGGTCGTGGGCACTCCTGCTGACGTCACTCTGGTACAGTTGCGCACACGCACACGCACACGCACACACGCACACGCACACGCACACGCACACGCACACGCACACGCACACGCACACACTTGGCCTACAACACGTGTGCGTAGCAGATGCGCACTCGCCTGACACTGTGATCGTCTTTTCGTCTGGCCCCGCCCAAGGTGCGGATGCAAGCCGACGGGCGACTGCCGCCGGAGAAGCAGAGGCGATACAAGCACGCCGTCGACGGTCTGGTATGTGTGAAGTCTAACATTCTCTGCGCTGGCAGTTGGCCCAATACCTCTGGCGCACCACACTAAGCGACACACGTGTGGGGGTGCTGGGTGGGTGGACACAGATCCGTATCGTGAGGGAGGAGGGCTTTTTCACGATGTGGAAGGGCTGCCTGCCCAACGTTTACAGGTATCCACCACCGCACACGCACACGCACACGCACACACGCACACGCGGGGCATGCGACCAACCGTGGGTGGTGTGCAGGGCGATGTTCATGACGGCGGGCCAGCTGGCGTCGTACGACCAGGCCAAGATGCTGCTTCTCGCCACCAATATTTTCAAGGACGACCCCGTCACCCATTTTACGTGCGTGGACCTCTCCCCCCCCCCTCAGTGAGCACCCGTTGGCACGAGCACACAGGCCCGAGTCTCGGGCCGGGGCTAATGCCGGTTTGCTTCTTCCGCTGCAGCGCGAGTACGATTGCGGGTCTCATTGCGGCCGTGATCACGTCTCCGCTCGATGTGGTCAAGTCGCGAGTCATGAACGCTGAGAAGGGCTACTACAAGGGGTCCATTGACTGCACGCTCAGGGTTCGTACGCACAGGACAACACACACGAACACGACACACACACACACACACACACACGACACACACACGACACACACACACACACACACGAACACACGCGCGCACACACACGGCGCATACGAAAGTGGTTTACTCATTACTGAGTGTGGGCTTTATTCGAATCGTGTTTGTGGTGGCGGACACGAAGACTCTCCGGGCGGAGGGACCCTTGGCCTTCTATCGTGGATTCCTGCCCTACGCTATCCGCCTTACGCCGCACACGATTATCACCTTCCTCGCCTTTGAGCAGTTCAACAAGTACCACCCTCGCACACGCGCATGCGCACACTCAGAAGAAAGACACACACACACACACGCAACACGCAACACGCAACACACAACCTGAAACACATGTGTTTTATGTGGACAACAGGGCCTGCATCTGGTTGCTGAAGAAAGCAGGCAAGCTGCCCACCGATGTGGCTGCCTAAGAGCCTTCAATGAACAACAATAGCAGTTTCCTCCACGCCTCTTCAATAAATATTTTGATGGAAGGACAAAGTTACAGGATCTCGTCTCCGTCGTGGTAGTGGAAGTTGACGGCACGCGGCCCTCTGGTGGCGTTCATCGCCTTCTCCTTCCTCATTTGCCACCAGCCGACCGCCGCAACTGCACCGACCACCGATGCCACCACCACCGCGGCGATGGGCACCGCCACCGCCACCCCGACCACCAGCGCCCTGTCGCTCCCGCCGTTGCCGTTGCCGTTGCCGTTGCCGTTGCCGTTGCCGTTGCCGTTGCCGTTGCCGCCATCGCCACCGCCGGCCGAGCCGAGCAGCACGTCGATGCCCAGGCTCGGGTCGTACGTCAGCGAGCCGTTTAAGGGCGGGAATCGGAGCTCCAGCACGAACTCGGCCGCCGCGCTCGCCCCGTCGGGACCCGCCGACGCCGAGCGAGTGAAGCTGAGCGAGTGGTCGATCGGCGCCAGGTGGTCGCCGCCACCGAGGGAGTCGGTGACGAGCACGATGTCGAACACCTCCACCTTGGCCACCGCCTTCGATGCGTCCCGTGTCGATGACGAGGCCCGGCGACTGAGGAGGGGTATGTAGTAGGTGGTCATGTTGGCCTTGGGCACTCCGCTCTGCCGAGTGATGTTGGCGCTGGGGTCGAACGGTAAAGAAGAAGAAGCCAACGGAGATGATGATGACGATGTAGAAGAAGATAGGAGGCTCGTGAGGCGATAGCGGACGATCGACGAGGGGGAAGATGATTGATTGGCCGAGGTGAGGCGTATGCACCACTTGAGCGTGCCCGGCGCGATATCGAACGAGTGGCCGAAGAAGTGGCCGTTGGTCGCTCCCCTGTGGAAAGAGAATTCCTGTTCCACCGCAGCGGCCTCGCTGTTGGCCGAATAGGCGAACGTCGTTATGGCGCCGTCATCCGATTCGTTCACTTGGCTTCGGCGGAAGTCTGCTCTCTCGCCCAATCACACCACATACACCAAAGAAAGATCAGCCTTTCAATAAAAGAGCAAATGGTGGTCTAACCGCACCTGTCAGGCCCGAGGCTGGGACGGTGATGTTATCCACCTGGAGGCCCTCAAACTCTGCGCGCACGGTCACCAGCAACCGATCATCGGCCTCGGGCGTCGTGCCATTGGCGACGGTGCCGAGGAGGGTGGCGGTGAGGTTGACGCCGGCAGAGTTGGTCTCGAAGCTCGACGTGACGTTGACTACCCTCAGCAAACCACTCGAGTCTTTGGCTGGCGTCCTCGAGGGCGTTGGCGTGAGCGACGGAGAAAGCGAAGGCGACGGCGAAAGCGAAGACGATGGCGATGGCGAAATCGACGGAGAAAGCGAAGGCGACGAGGAGGTCGAGGGAGAGGGCGAAGGCGACGGCGCGCATCCAGAGACGCTCAGCCGGAAGGTGTTGCCCTCGTTGGTAGTCCACACTTGGCTCGGGTTGGCCCGGTGGGCCAGGCCCTGCAGCACCACCCGCTCCGAGCCACTCGGCGGGGCAAGGCTCATGTAGTCCCACTGCGCGGCATCGCCGCTGTCGAAGACGAGCCAGTAGAGGCCCGGACCAAGCACCAGCGAGCCGGCGGGTGTGGCAACGTAGCCCTCGGACTCTGCGCTGACCTCGAGCGTGGCGTTGGGTAGCGCGCTCGAGCTGGGCGTACCCCCATCGTCCGAGTAGAGGCTGGCCGAATCAACGCCATTGGGGCCTGACCACACGTTTTAGGCCGCGAGGAAACCAAAAAAGAACGAAGAACGAAGCAAGAGGAGAAAGAGCGAAGAACGACGCGGAGGAGAAGGAAGCGAAGGGGGGAGCGGTACTGGAGAGAGGAGCATAGAAGCGGGTGATCGCGCTTTGGTTGACCACCAGAAAACGCTGAGCCAGGTACGGCCTGGTTTGGCTCGCCTCGGGCGTCCTGGCCAGGTTGTCCGCCAGTGATGTGCCGCAGCCTGCCCCACAAGAACGAAACGAGAAGGGCTCCGACCGGAGTCATACCAAAAAACAAAATAAAACAAAGCCGGAGTGGTTTGGGTACCCTGAGCACAGGCTTCCGGAAGAGCCAGGCCCAAGAAGACGACGCCCACCAGAGCGAAGATCAGCGGCGAGCGCCTGTACATGTGAGAGAGTCGTACAACATCGACATCGTGAGGCCCGACGTCTCTTCCCCTTAAGTGAGGAGCATTAGACGGAATTTCCTGCGTTGCAGCTATGGTCGTGCCTACATGTGCTGTCTGGAACTCCAACAAGCCCGAACATGTACCTGTTGATTCGAAGGAGCGGGTCGGAGCAAAGAAGACGCAAATCGTGCCGATCAAGTTGTAAACTGCCGAGTCCGCACCGACCTCGCACTCAAACGGGAAGAGGTGGTGCGTCGCATGCTTCCCTCCGCCCTCCCATACTTCCCACCTCATCTACCCCTACCTAACACCACCTCCCAGCACAAGAACTGGTTTCTGTTGGGCACTTTGCATTTGTTTGTCAAAGTGTACGGTGGCCAACAGAAGGGGCCAGGCGTAGAGTGTGGATGGTGGAAGTGGGGTATGATGTACAATGCAGGTATGTGAATCATTCGCTCGACGCGCGCTGAGCGTGTCGGTGTGTTCGATCCTTCCTCTTCTCGAGTGCCGTGAAATCCACAACCCGCTGAGCGGGGAGGCGGCGCTCGACGATGATCGAACGGCGAGCTGTTGTTCGTCGGTGCGCGCACGAACCAGTTGTTTCCCTCTCGATCCTCGTCGTCGCCGTTCGACGTCTTCAGTTCCTGGCCTTCAGCCAGAACGAAGCGTGCGGGTGATCCTTGATGAAGTCCAGCACGCTGTCCCTCCTCGTGGCGACCCTCGACGGCTGCTGCTGCTGGTGCTTTTGCTCCTGCTGTTGGCGGTACTCGGCGTAGTCATCGCCGTCGTCGTTGTCGTCCTCCTGGTCGGCGCCCTCGACGACGTCCATCAGGCGCGACTCCCGAGCGTACCGCTCCTCGATCGCCTTGGCGCGCATCGCCATGAAGGCCGCAGCGACGTGACCGTGGTCGTGGTCGTCATCGCCACCGTAAGCGCTCCTGGAGCCGGCCTGGTACTGCGACTCGGACCTTCGCCGCCTCGTGCTGCCGACGCCCGGCAAGCGCCGGCCGGCGGCCTCGCTCATGGAGCGGGTGCGCTTGATCTTCTTGGTGGCGGCGGACGACGCGGGGTCGTAGTCCTCGTCGGTGTCGTCGCGGTCGACGCTCTTCCTGCGCCGGCTGCTCGCTCCCCTGGCGCCGACATAGGCCGACTCGGCGCCGGCTGGCGCCCTGAGCGGCGACGTGCTGGGCGAGCCCGGCAGCGGCGACGCCGCAGCTCCGAAGGGCGACGGAAGCGACCCACGCTTGCGCGAGAGGTAGGGCGAGAGCGCCGGGATGGAGGCGATGGGCGGCAGCATCGGGGCCGATCTGCTGCGTCCCACCGACAGGGGCCTGGGCTCAGCTTCGGCGGAGCTCTCCGACGAAGTGGCGGCAGGCGGCGCCGAGTGGGGGGTGCGGGGCAGGTCGACGAAGACCACCTGCGGCGACCCGTCGGCGGAGGCGGCGCTGAGCACGTTGACGAAGGACGGACCCGAGAGCTGCTGCTGCTGCTTCTGCTTGCCGGCCAGCAGCTCGGAGCGCTCGCGCAGGGCGAACTGCAGGGTCTGCTCGAGCTCGCGGGCGCGCTCGCGTTCGAGTTCGATCTCGCTCCGGAGGCGGTCGATCTGCTTCTGCTGGCTCCTCGTCACGCGCCGCGTCCTGCTGCTCACTGGCGAGTCGCTGCCCGTCGTCGCCAGTCCGTCGCTGTCGACGTACTCACCGTTGTCGACGTCGGCACCGTTGTCGCTCTCGGAGTCGTCGGACCGCTCCGGCTTGACGGAAGTCGCGGCGGGAGAGATCGGCACAGGCAGCTTTTGCGTAGATGATGAGATGATGTCGGAGAGCTCCATGAGGCTGTTGGTGGCCGAGACGTAGGCCTGTTGCTGGTGATGATGCGACGACGTGGCGGACGGCACGGGCGTAGCCGACGATGTGGCATGGCCGAACGATGTCGAGGAGGCGGAGGAGGTCGAGATTAGCGAGTAGGACCCGAAGAGACCCGGCGACAGCGTAGAGGGCGAGGGCGGCGAAGATTGCGGCACGGGCGACGATGAAGAGGTGCGATCGATCGGCGGCGTAGAGGGTGCCATCTGCGAAAAGTGCGTGGAAGTAGAGGAACCGAAGGTGGCGGGCAGCGATGGCAGGATCGACGAGATGGTGGGCAATCGCGAGGCATCGAGGGCTGCCTTGGTCTGGATCTGGGCCATGGACATGAGCAGAGGCAGGGCATCGTCCTCCTCAAGAATCTTCGACGATTCAACATTCATCCTCTCGCGCTTGACCATGCCCGAGAAGCTCGACGAAAATGAGGGCAGATGGTGTGCCGTCGGTGGCGAGAGACCCTGGCCGAGCGCAGAGCGAAGCGGCGGCAGGCAGGTCACAGACGATGATGAACCGGCCAAGCTCATCTTCTACTTCGAAATTGCCTGGCGCGAGGGGATTCCTCTCGATAGGGGCCGAGCGCTCGGAAGGCTGGCCGACGGCGGCTACAAGAAGCGTATGGAGCCTCTTCCTGAGATGACATGTTCGCAACGCGCAATAATGTCAGGCAAGGGAAATTAAGTGACGCGCGGCGATTAAATAGTAGAAGAAGAATGAAGAAGAATGAAGATGAATCTCCACACATCAAGGGAGCACAAAAAAGCGTACCTTGCAGGAGTGCACAGCGACGGAAGTTTCTTGAAGGCGGCGGTTGTCGGCTCGGTGGCTTCACAAGAAGCGGTTCAACACGTGCAGGCGAGATGAAGACGAAGATGGGCGGTCGGCGAAGACGATGGGCGCGTCCGAGATTGGAGGTACCTGGTGTGGCCGTGTAGAT